ACTTGTTTAGTTGTCTTTTGCCTCAGTTTAATCACACTTTCCTACATTTCCTTACACTTTGTTTAGTTGTCTTTTGCCTCAGTTTAATCACATTCTCCTACATTTCCTTAGACTTGTTTAGTTGTCTTTTGCCTCAGTTTAATCACATTTTCCTACATTTCCTTACACTTGTTTAGTTGTCTTTTGCCTCAGTTTAATCACATTTTCCTACATTTCCTTACACTTGTTTAGTTGTCTTTTGCCTCAGTTTAATCACATTTTCCTACATTTCCTTACACTTGTTTAGCTGTCCAGCAGTGGCTTTCGGTTTCAACTGGTTTTTCATATTTGAAGTACTTTCCTTACTTTTATGAGTTTGTATTTCTCATTTGTATAACCATATTCTATGAGGTGATATTGTTCAACATAATCTTAAGCATTCATTTTGCCATTTTCTATGGCAGCCTCTCATGTTAACCCTTGTTTGTTTTATCTAAAGAAAACTAATGTAATCTTTTCTTTGGGGTCAATTATAATAAATCATTGTTCAAATTAAATAGTGTTGTAAGATATTCATTACAGAACTTTGCCCAACTTGTGAATTCTAACTGATGGTAGGTAAAAATGTTCATGATTCTTGAGAGTATCTTGAATGTTCAACGAAACCCAGTATTAAATAGAAAAGCATATAAAACACTATATTTTATAAAATTCTAAATCCATGTAATTATAAGATACAAGTTATAGTCAGTCAATTATGGATTTGATATCAGAGTTGTGTAAAAATGGCAGTTCAGATCCATCCTTCATTTGCCATTAATCACTGCTCAGGAAGGCTTTTATTCAACAACAACACTCATAAGTTAGGCTGCATCTATGACAATACATTGTGAATTTAAATAGAGAATATCATTTAATTTTATACATTTTATGGCTTTATTTCCACAAAAGTTTATGAAGAAAAATAATCTTCAACTTAACAATATAATATTACACTTCTTAGTGACTAAGTTAGCTTTTCATATGGATATATTAGGTATACCACTGAAACCACTTGATGAGGAAACTTTTAAAGTTGTCATCTTGTTTTTATTAATATAAGATTATAGTATAAGTGTGAAAGAAATTTAAAATAAAAAATAAAAGGAAAATGAAAAATTTAGTTTTTGGTTGGGAGACCTTGATATTTTTTTTTATATTACTCAAATTTTCATTTATATCTGACAAATTTTATTAGTTAGAAACTATATGCCAACATACCAACACAATATTGTCTTACACTACCACTCTGTTGTGTTTCATGTTATGTCAATAAACAAATTCAACACCATACTACATTATATAACCAAGTAATTTTGTAGTATTAAAGGAATGTCTCTTAACAGCATAAGGCAACATCAAACTAAAGTAAACTTTGGTGGCTTGAATACCTAATGTTGACTAAGGTTTTGCTGTTCATTCGTTAATAAACTAGTGTTTCTTTTTTGTTTTTACTTGGAGGAACCTCCACAAATGTGGCAGTGAGAGAATCACTGGAATACTAACAGGCAGGAACAAGGGAATGTAAACTGCATACCTAGAAGCAAAAACAACATATTAAGCATTAACATATTTGGTTGTTATGAACATAAAATATATATCATAAGAATAATTTAGCCAAGAAATTTTCAAATGATACACACATATATATACTTGTATATGCATTTAAAGTATTAGAAATAGCTATGGAAATAGTGAGGAAAAGATATGAGAGGCAAATACTATAGGAATGCCACTCCTTTATAATGTAAAAATGAACTGCACTAGAGTACATTCATGTGTTGACTGTTTACATTGTTACTGGTTGTCATCCAACCAATCAGAAAAGGTCTCACCAGTGTAAAGCTTTAAAAGTACAGGCTGTCATACTACACCACATAGTAGTAGTAGTACTTTACATAGCTGTAAAGAGGTTGATGAAACACTCACAACCATGATGTGGTCTGCACAAAGTCCTGACATGAATATTGTTGAGGGTGTATGGGCTAATGTAAAAACTGAAAAAGTCAAAAGGTGACCAAACAACTTAGATGAATTTTGGAGTATAATATTAGACAATTTGAAGAATATTCCACAATCATACAATTATAAACTGTATGGCAGCATGAAAACAAGGTGTAATAAAGCACACACAAAATACTAGTGCACTGTAAAGCTTAGTCATTTTTGTTTTGTATTTTCTGTGATAATGTTTTGTATTATTGATAAAGTCACAATCTTGTTGCCAATACTCATTGTTTGTAACTCTTTTATGTATATGTAACTTGTTTGTTTCCATAATTATTTCCATTACTTTATGCAAAAATATCTATACACGTGTGTTCATGTATACATATAAAAACCATTTTGTGCTTGTTATAGTTTTCATGCTATAATTTTTAAATTAGTTTCTTCATGAAATTTTGCATATTATCAGTAAACATTACAAAGATTTTGCACAGAAAATACTATATTTTTATATTAAGTTTTAAAATTCATTAAGTAATGTTTTTCTCGTGCCTCTTTTCCTTTTCGAATGTTGACTATCCAACATACAAAGTGATTTTAATATTAAAAATACTTTTATACACGAGAAAAAGTTCAAATTTCACATGCAGAATATGTATAATCTCCAGATAATGAGCAAACATTGTTTTAGAAAAAACTTTATATTCTATCTGTTAGTTTTGCTATTGTATCTCTGTACAGGTTGGGTTGATTTGACCGACCTCAAAACCACCATAGAAAATTAGGAAATAAATATAAGTTACACATTTTTTGTTCTAGCATGACTACAAATTATAACATGAAAACACAAATGTTTAGTCTAAATATCTTAAATCTCATAACATTATACATCTATATATATTTATTATTTTTATTGACCTTTCAGCCATTGCAATGATGTGGCACACATGTACATGCATGCAATATGAAGAAAAGTTGGGCACATCTAATGAGGGGTTACAAAACGATGCTTGACTAAGAAAGGAAATGTACATGTCAAGTATAAACTAAGATGCATTCCAGGCAGTATTGGGAATAAATTGTTTAAATGACCAATAGACCAATGCCAGAATAGCAGAAAGAAGCTATTATAAAGTTTATATTAACTTCATTAGAAACTGGACACAACTTCCATAAAAAGAATTAGCAGGGAAATCAGAGACTCTGGGCAGAACGTTGATCTGAGGAGGACGAGGAGATAAACATGCAAACATGCTGCCAATATATCATCTTCGATCATAACCAATTGTTAATATAGCTTTGGTTTTAGTTCTGAGAATTATGATGAGTCAACAAAATTCATCCAAGTAAGTGACAAGTGTTGTTATGAGTTGGATTTGTACACTATTTGGAGAATCGTAAAAATACTAAAGAAATCCTTATTAAAACCCACGTTTTGTGGCTAAAAATCAGTCTCTTGACTCATAATAAGAAGCCATTGGTCCTGCTGCCAGTTTGTCAACTGAAATCTTTACAATCTCCTGGTTCATATGAAGAAGCCAAACAACCTGCTGCTGGTTGAAGAAAACTGATGCTGCCTGGTCCAACTATGCAGAGCCCATAACAATGTTGAAGATGTCAAACATTTCCAGCTCAAGATCAGTGTAATTAACTAATGCTATCTCTCTCAGAATTAAATACTGCAGTTGGAAATTGAATGCACATGTGCTTAATATTAAAGAATTAAGGAAAGTTATGTCTTAGCAGTTTTCAATCAATGTGTTAAATGATAGTATTAAGTAATTTAATGGGTATTATAGAAAATTTTAATTGAAGTACAGTTACCTGACCAGATTGAAGAATTTAATAGTTTTAATAGTGAAATGTTTCAAGATACCTTTGGTAATTTTAATGTAGTCGAGTATCTTAATATATTGCATTAAAGTGTTGGTAGTGTTTTGAATCTCAGTTTCCACGTCAATTCTTTATTGTAACTGTAAACTTCTTCGAGTTAGTGACTTGTGTATTCCACTTGTGACTGTAAACCTGGATTTTAAATAAATCTATTGTAAACTGGATTTAAGTCGAACTCCATGTGACATGCCATCACAAAGAAAACATTAATTGAGAATATCCACAGTAACCTATTGTAGTTATTTAGAACTCATTTTGAAAACATTGTTACTCAAAAGAATTACATATCATGCTTAAAGACTATGACTCTCTTAAGGTAGCCAAATGCCTCGTCATCTAATTAGTGACGCGCATGAATGGATTAACGAGATTCTCACTGTCCCTATCTACTATCTAGCGAAACCACAGCCAAGGGAACGGGCTTGGAAAAATCTTTGACCACAGAGTGAGTTTGGAAATGACAAAATTGCTGTTTGCATTAGTGCCATTAATTATTCAAAATTGTAGTTCTAGAAAGAATGTTAATTAAATAATCTAAATAACAAATACTTTCATCAATAATTAACTTTTAATTTTTCAAAACAATGTACAAAAGTTTTGTAAGGTGCTTGATTACAAACATGTAGATCAATGTGTTAAGCAAAGTGTGTTAATTGATAAAAATAGGGAAAATTTATTCATTAAGCCAATATTAAGAAGCATAAAACTTAATGTATGATAAAAGATATTTTTTAAACATTAGACTTTTAATGCATTAAGCAATATCTGATGGAAAAAATAATAGCTACATTTCAAAGACTGTTAAAGATTTTTTAAAGATAAACTGAACTATATGATAGTAGAATCATTTGTCATAACAGCTATTTTTAACAGTTTCACCATCATATTTGACATCACTGGAACAGATAAAACATTTCAAACGACTTGTTTATTAGCATATAAAGAAATAGTATTTCATAAAAAAACAAGAACAAGCATAAACAATTTAATAATCCTGGCAAAAAAAATTCAGGTTTGCTTAAGTGCAGACATAATTTATTTACCATAAGCCATGCTGAATTATCTCAACCTTATGTATAATACATTCATTTTTTTCTGAGAAGAAATCCACAATCTTCTCATAATATCCTATTTTAACCCACTTTTACCATCAGAAGCAACAGCCACATCTTGCAATTACATATTTTTATACTAATAACTATCACAGCCTTTTTATTAGCAAACTAAAAAAATTTTACAACATGGTTAATTATCTTACTTTTGGTCATCTGGAAAATAGAGAAGAGCAAGGAGTGATGGATGATAAAATGCTTCCTCTGAAAACAAAACAAAGATACTAATAAGTGTGTTTCATCAAATTCACTGAATTACACAAATATAGTGTAAAGCTTAATGTTGAAAGAGAATGAAATACCTTTAAACATTTTCATTTTGACAGCTTGAATTCATCACTGTTTGTGCTATTGTTCAGATTCTCATATGGATCTGAATAACTTTGGTGTTTAAAGTTAGTATACATAATTTAACACAATCAGCAAGTGCCCTTTGTTCTTGCTATTAATGGATCTTTACACATATTGTAAATATTTTACTGTTATTTCCAACACTGGTGTAACTAACCCATTTATTGAAAGATTACTGACTTACTCCACATTAAACAAACAAGGATATATCAGAGGGTTGTTCATGATTCATGCAGGTGATGAAGCATTTACTATAATGCATATACTAAGGATTTCAAAAAATATAGTTTTAATTAATATATAAAGTATTATATATAGGGAGATGAGAAATATATGAATCCAAATATCTAATAGAAACCTAGAGAAATACAACAGGTCAAAGGATGTTATAAAAAAATTGACACTACCTAGCAAAGCACATTACCAAATAAGGATAACTTTGATGTAGAGGAATTGATCAATAGCTTGTAATAACAAATATTTTGTGTTTATATTACAACTGTCTTTGAGCACGTTTCTTTATTCCACATGTAAATTCCTCGAGTTGGTGGCTTGTGTGCTTAACCAATGATTTCATAACCAGGTTCAAAATAAATTCATTTGTAACTTGTGTGAAGTCAAACCCAATAACTACGCTTACTGGCCACCTGTTATAGTAATTTGGATATTCAATCACAATGCCCCCTGCCATACTTGTAACCTGTAACTTATACAGATTAAAAACCTTGACCCTCATGTTGAAGTGTGGTGATTCGAAAAATGCATACGGCATCTAAAACTGGCCTTCCCGAGAAGATTTATAATACAGGATTGTTTTATGTGAAGTTATTCTATTCTAAGATTATAAAAGCATGTAAGACAAAATTTTAGTATTTCAAGCCCGTTCCCTTGGCTGTGGTTTCGCTAGATAGTAGATAGGGACAGTGGGAATCTCGTTAATCCATTCATGCGCTTCACTAATTAGATGACGAGGCATTTGGCTACCTTAAGAGATTCATAGTTACTGATTTTTTCCAAGCCCGTTCCCTTGGCTGTGGTTTCGCTAGATAGTAGACAGGTACAGTGGGAATCTCGTTAATTCGTTCATGCGCATCACTAATTAGATGACGAGGTATTTAGCTACCTTAAGAGAGTCATAGCATTCAAGCTCAACAGGGTCTTCTTTCCATGCTGATTTTTCCAAGCCCATTCCCTTGGCTGTGGTTTCGCTAGATAGTAGATGTCATATTTATTAATTCTTAGATAGGTCATGTGACCTGCATGTAAGCTTACATTTCTACATAAATCTCAGAGGAGATTCACAGATATAATTCGCTCTAATACCCTTAGGTTGAGCCAATATTACTGTTTTTCCCATAATATATTATGCTCTGTTTTTTGTCTCCAAAGTTAGACAAATGAATTAATTTCAAATATATCACTTCTTCACACAAATCTGTTGTGACATCAGCATGGTACTCTTCAATGAATGATTTGCATCTTCCTTCAATCTGGTTTTCAGTAATTTTTCTGTATTTCCACATAAACCAAACTTTCTCCTTACAGCTTCTTAACGATTTTTAAGACTGGAAATTAGATTGTCGAGAATTACTTAAAAACCTTTGTCTTGAATAGGTCTTTCTAATTGTTGCTTCCTCCAGAGTTTCATCATGAAACACTTTCCTCTTCTTATTGCATATTTCTGGAAATTTCAGCTCAATATTCATCACATTGGCAACCACTTTAGCTTTAGAAAGTATGGTATTCCAATTTTCTCGAATAAAGTTTAATTCAACTAACAAGCTTTTTATGTTCTTGACTTCAACATCAATGGTAGTATTTCGATCTTGTAGCAGTTTGTTTGTACAATTGATCAGTACCAACAACTTGAACCAGATTGATGCCACGATAATGCACTTGAATGACGTGATATACTCCAAAACACCCCATAGTAGAGAACTTGTCTTTACAGAAAAATTTAGCTTATTCAAAGATTCCACAGCAATGACAATCTTAGCTAAATGAGCTGCAATTGGTCATACAAAATCCACCCATGCACTCCAACGAGTATCAGACATTGAATGTAAAGAAATTCCAACACACTCCTTCAGAAATTTCCATTGCTGGGGACTACAGCCAAACAGATTATAGTTACTGTATTATCACAAAAAATGTTGCTGCCTCAAAGCAATACTCAGCAGTGTGCCCTACACAAAAGTTAAAACTGTGACAAGCACATGGAGAAAACTTTGCTGAAGGATTCCACTGAAGAAAAAGTGCTTGTGCACCATTAAACACCCCACTTATGTTACTCCCATTGTCATAACCTTGGCCACAGCATTCATTAATAGGAATTAAGTGTTTCTCAAGTGTTGAGCAAATCAAGGTTGTGATTGCAACTCCTATTTTTTGGCTGCAGTCAGTGACTTTCAAAAATTATTCTTGTATTTCATATTTGCATTTTTCTTCATTGAAGTTAACATAACAAAGAATAAATGTTGTTTGTTCGACATGACTTGAATCTGGAGTTGCATCAATAATAATGGAATAATACTTTATGTCTTCTCTCTGTTCTACTATAGCACTTCTAACATGATAGGCACAGCAAGAAATAAAATAATTCTGCATGTCACTAGACAGGTAATGCACTTGTATGCATTTACCAGCTTTTATTGAGATTCTCTACTCAGTATGTTTTTCAAGACCTGGGTCATAGTGACTCAAAAACTCTAGGACTCTAAGAAACTTTCCATTATTTGGCTCTCTGATTTCTGAGATTTGCCTTTGAATAACAAGCCTCTTTCACTAAGAAATAATGTCACATCAAGTAACCATTGTAGCATTTGTTTCCATAAGTAGGCTTCACTTTGAATCTGTTTCTTCAGTGGGTGAAAGATAGTACCACTGCATCCTAGTTAAATTTTTAAGGTCCACCATTTCAAGTAACACTCTTTGTGAAGAATGCTAGGTTGATGTTCTGGGATTCTCTCATACACTTTTCTCCATTTCAACTGGCATAAGTATCCTGATTTAGAAGAAAAATATGAATGAACTGATTCAGGCTGAGAAGAACAAAAGCTGGCATGGAAAACAAAATAACACCTGTTGGCTTTTACACCAAGCTATACAATCACGAGGCACAGATTCATTGTTTGGAAGTTTGTACTGAAGTAGAGACATAAGAAATGAACATGAAGTAGCATCTGCTGGAAACTGTTCAGGGTGCTTAAATGGACTGCATTTCATTGCCTCTTTTATTTCCTGAGCTGTAGGATTTAGTCTTTAAAGTTCCAACACCAAATGTATTGAAATGCAGGTGCTGAAAGTCCATGTTACTAGTTTGGTGTTCCAGTGGGTGGCAAAGGCATATATAAAGTGTCCCTAGCTGAAAACACACCCACCTAAAGACCTGTAGATTGAGAGACCATTCTGTAAGGAGAATCTTCTTGGGAGAAGATAATTAATCCACCACCAAAGGCTCGAGAAAGGTGATATGTAGACTTCTTGATCGACCAGAAACCAGAAATCTCCAGACGGTGAGGTAAGACCACGAATCTTCTAAAGAACAAATGTAAATATGGACAAGGTGGAGTAAGCTGCACCCCCACCATGGTCTGGTTTCTGCCTTACCACTAAGCCAGGGATATGAGGAGAAGCTCTACTGATCTAGGAGAGTCCACCAAAAGGAATGCATATGAGCTCGACCCATGGGAATGAGAGCTTCCAAGGGAAGTGTGAACTGCTTGCTCCTAACCTGAAGACAAAGAGGAAAAGGCAGAGCTTGACTGAGATTGGAAAGAAGAACCCCACGCCCCCAATATGAATGGGATATTGAGAGGGGTAAGAATGGACTTCCCCACTGTCATCAGGAATCACACCCACGCTTCTTCCTGTAGGATCAGTGGAGTGTGGTCTATGGACTGTGAATGAGAAGAAGCAAACAGGAGCCAGTCATCCACAGAAAAAATTGTGCAAAGACTCGTACACGTAATGTTGACTCTAATCCTTGACCAAAATCATTGGTAAATTTCCCAACTAAAAATTTTAACCCCAACAAAAATATCTTTTGTTCTATTTTTATTTTTTTAAAAAAGATTGTACTTTGTACAAGAGAAATTTTGGTACAACCCACTAAAAGGGGTTGAAAACATTAAGAATAGTTTGCTTTTGTGATAGGCTAATAATGCTGTTTTAAGAACTACACTTTCTATCATGCTGATCTGTACATCTAAATTTTGTATGGAATTCAACTGAGCATTAATGGCTAGGTCTGGTAACACAGCACAGTGTATACAACTCAGTTAGTTACATTATCACACAATGTACTTCATGATGTTTGTATGCAAATATATAGGCAGACAGAAATTTGCAACAAAAATTAACACTGATAACATGAATATTTACATTAATTTCTAATATAGATGCATATGACAATAAAACTAATATGGCTGTCTTAACCTCCTACCAATAAACCTTTGGTAGGAACTAAAAGGATCAACTTTACAAACTCCGAATTTTCATTGGTAATCGTCACAGTTGAAATACTGATGCCCTTTCGATTACGAATGTATAGGCCTAAGGCTAACATTAGACAGATGTGACTAATCAAGTCTAGGAAATATGGAAAACATAGCTACCATGAGAAAAGCAGAAAAATTCACAAATTAAACAGAACATAATAATGATAACTGCAAACAAAATTTTATGAATGTTTTGATCAATGGAAAGCAGAATAACAATAAATAAAATAAGGTTATGTTTGACTCTCTCCAGATCAATACATGTTAGTGGTGTGTGTGTGTGTACATGTGCAGTGTTCAGGCAATGTGTACATATTATGCAATAGTAGTACACGTGAGAGTTCCAATGCAAGTCTAGTCTTACTACAGGCTGTACTTTACTGTACTGATTAAAATTAAAACATTAAATGTGATTGGCCAAGACTACTGTTCTGTTTGAAAGGTCATTGACTATTTTTTCCTAAAGATACTATATAATGTTACGTCTCCGTTCGTTAGTTAATTTTCCGTAAAATTATTTCCGAAGAAACTTTACCGATACAAGTCCTTTCTTAAATAAAACTGGTTTATTCTTTCTGAATACAACTTTGCGATACACTTAACTTCAACAGTCGCGCTATAACAAACGCTATAGTTCTCAACGAACGTCTCACGTGCTCAACAATATTCTCTCTCCGCAGTTCAATTACACATTCCCTCATGTTGCTTCAAGACTACCCCAATCTAGTGGTCTCCCAACATTTCATGAAGGTTCGAGAAGGAAGTGGCGTGATACAAGCATCACGTGACCTGCGTTGTCGTAACAATAATATTAGCATGGTTTGGTCTTATTTTTTCCAATGTAATGAAACTACCCAGGAAATAAGGCATCAAAAAGTAGTTGAATAAAGATGTAAAACTGGCAACTAAACATTAATTGTATATTTTGGAAATAAATAAGATATAAAAACATGAAAATTCTTGTAAATGAGTCTTTTTTTTTGTTAGGGTCTTTAAACATCAATATTGTTGTAATTGGATCTTTTTTTCGGACAATTAATACAGCTTTCTGGACAACCTGGAAATTTCCTTAAAATTGAGCCATGACCACAAACTTTATATTTTACATTACCTGCACTTGACAAGATATTCACTAACTGTACATTTCTAACACTATACTAGATGAGAAGCATAATCTCTAACTGCAAGTATCCCATCTCATAGTACTTGGCAAGATAATCAATAACAGTGTATTTCCCAAAACAAAATTCTAAATTAGAAGCATAATCATTAACTACAAATTTCCCATCATATACTACTTAAGAAATTACTCACTTAATGTAAAATTCTCATAACAGAATATTTGAAAAGCAGTAGTGTAAAAGCATTCACACAATTGGCTTATATAAATAGTATTTCAACCACTCGTATTTGTTGCATCCCAACCAGCCTGAAGAGCTCTGGATTGAGCAAAATGTGTTGTGTGCAATGGCTATAACAAATATAGTATGGTTGGAATAATATTATTATACAATCTTCCAATTCTTGAAAATCCCAAACATACAAGATAATATAACTGTAATCATTCTTTGGCAGCTTGTACAGGGCATACACACCATAACAAATGTATGTAACGTGATATATGCTGTGTTATTCCTCACCTGATGAAACGAAGGCACGTTTTATAAAACCAAATGCTTCTTCCAAATTTCCAGTTTTTAAGAGTTCTATACCTTTTTCTAAAGAATCAATGGCTAGATAAATCTGAAATAAAGATGCAACATATATATATATGAAGCAATAAAGAAATAGAGCAATTAAAATCTTTTTTATATTTCACACAATATTTCAAGCAAATTTAGATAAATATTGTTTTACTAACAAATACATCATATTCCCATGAATTTTACATAGATCAGTCATAAAAAGGAGAAGTTAAAATAAAAGTATCTCTGTACATTACATTTTACTTGTTTTAGACCTTTACTTTAAAATGGCTGAGCCACACACTGTCTTTAACTCCAGTTACACAGTACAAATAGCTTACCATTTTGAATGTCTAAGAACTGTAATAATCTAGTAAAGCACAGAAACACAAATGAAATACTTATACTATACAAAATAAACATAGTTTACCATATATAACTACCTTTTCAAATAGTGGTGACTAAATAAACATGCATATTTATTTATTATTCTAATTAACTTGGTAACAATTGGTAATAGATCATCAAAGAATGAAATGATATCCTTGTCAATTAGTAATCTAAAATGAAGTAACTCTAACTGCTATTGATGAACTGTCATTATTTTAATTCACAGATGGTAGTACCACACTCATTACAATTGTTCATTTATTGTATTAGCAAGTGTGAGTTAGGCAGTCAGTGGAATTCGCTAATTGATAACTCTCATATAAAACTTGAATAGTTGGAATAATGAAAAATAGTAACAATTGGAAATATTAATTTTGATTAGTTGATTATTTTTGAGTGTCATGACATTAATTGATAAGTTGAACCTTGAATTAGTCAAAAATAATAATGAGAAATCATGGGGCAATATTCTAATTATTTGGAAAGATGGAATAATATAAAACACTAATAATCAAAAACACCCATTTTGATCAGTTGACTACTTTTGTATAACTAATAAATGTAATTGTAATTTTTATTATTTATTTTACATGACACTAATCAATGTAATCAATTAATTGCCCACCTCTACTTTTAACTCCTCAGAGTCATGTACAATTTGAATACAAATAAAATTGTGTTCATTTTATACATACAGTTGTATAGTAATTTGTTTTATAAAATGTTTAATATATACATTAGAACATAATAAGAGTTGTTCAAATTTGCAATCCAGATATAAGTTATATTGCAATTTGAAAATTGCTAAAATTATACATATTTTGGTACAGAATGGTTAAGATATGGCAATACCATAAAAATCAGATTTATAACATGGGTATTATTTTCAGTTATCTCATTTTATCCTTCAATGCTCATACAATGCAGTAAATGTAGAATCATTCAATACAAGAAATATAAAATGTTTTATGCTCAGTTTTGTGTGATTTACTATATAAAATAGATAATTTTTAACCAGATTAACCCATATTTCCCCTACCTTGTAATTACCATTTACAAATTGTTTTAATACATATAAGGTTGATTTACATATTGCTACATGTACCTTGCTGTCAAACTGTATCAATAAAAGATTTCATGAAAGAATATTTTAGGAAACTGGATCATGCTGAAATTTATAATCAAAGCAAGTTAGATTTTGCACTTAAAATCTAAATCTAAGCTGACAAGTAGGTTTCTTTAACTGCTTAAGTGTTAAATTAAGAGTAAAAATAATAAATTGTTTTTATTTCCAACTTTTTTGTCTTAGAAAGATAAATATATAGAAACTAAAGTTTGTACATTCCCAGTGTTTTTAACTCATTTAACCTGAGTGGACACTACCAATGTCCACCCCAAAATATCTATTTACCCATTGGATGGGGACAGCCTCCAATAACATTTACGTCTCTTTGGCTGAAACTAATCCAAACCATGTTATTATCCACAAAATTAATATTTTATAAGATACGGTGATAATTATTAGTAAATTAAGAAATTAGTTCTGGCAGAATGCATTATGGGTTTAAAGAGTTGTAAGGATTTGAATAAGTAAAAATCCATATAAGGCAATAACTGATTTCCTCACTGTAGTCTGTTATAATTATATATGAGTTCCAAAACTTAAGTTTATAAATGAAAGTAGTATTACTAAGTCCAAATACACCAGTCTTTACCATTACATGATCTCAAGAAAACAATGAATGATTCGTTTTAAAATAAAAGGATGTGCCCCATATATAATTAGATGTCTACCATCTAAAAGCATTGTTTTAAGACATCAGAAAAAAAAAAATGATTTTAGTTCATATTTCAACAGTACCTTGTCACCAACCACATTAGTAATGACAATATTGCTGATGGTTTCCAGGAGATGAGCTAGAGAATGTAACGATCCTAAAGCCTTTGCCAACTGTTCTTGAGCTTGACGTCTCATCAAAAAGTCCAATTCCTTGAATATTAAACTTCTTATTATTAGTTAATGCTTTCATCATATAATTTTTAATTTATACAATATGTATGAAATACCTTATTATTAACGTTTTTTTAAAATTTTTCATGAAAAGTTAGTGTTATGTTTAGGCCTACACACTGAATAACATTTAAACAACTTCATATTTGTACACCATCATAATTTTTTGTGCCGTGTGACAAATACAGAAGATTGAATATGTTACATAACAATGTTGTTGAATATACAAACCAGTAAGTCACATGACAACCACAGATTATATAAAGGTGTGGTGGAATGACATGTATCAGAACTACATTTTGACACTGTTTGGTGCCCAAAACTGATAACTTTTGGAAAGAGTACACAACATATTTATAAAGATGTGTTTAGATCAGGGATTTATAACTTCCAATACAGGGATATCTCTTGTACTTAAAAGGCATTGGAAAACAAAGAAATTTGGATCAACTTGAAGCACTAGGAGAAAAAGACCAGTGGCAAAATCTGTCCACATGCTTCTGGCAGCAGCACGCAACATAATCAAGAAGGATCTACATCTGGATAAGCAACACAAGTCGTGTGTACATAAACTGTTTCTACAACTTATCCATTCATACATAGCATACTTCAAAGAAATGGAGAATGAAAGGGGTATTCATGTTATTCCATACAGACATACTAGTCAAGTCATCAGAAGCAATGCTTATGTATTAGGTCATCAAGAGATTAATGTCACATTTTGGAACACTTTCATTACCTCCCCCCCCCCAAAGTACATCATGTATAATAGTTAAACGATTAGCCTAAACATCACGTTAACGTAGCCTATATAATGTGTAAAGTTTAGTATACTCTAATCCCTTATAGTGATGGCACACAACGAAACACACATTTGGCATGTAATGCTGTTTGAATACATGAAGGGAAACAATGCCTCTGTAGCCACAAAGAATATCAAAGATGTTTATGGAAATGTTTTAAACATTCATAAGAGTCAATGATGGTTCCGCAAATTTCGTTCAGGTGACTTTAGCCTTAAAAACTGTGATGGCAGGGGCTAACATGTTGGAACTGATATTGATGCTCTGAAGACTCTTGTTGAGTCTAGCCCAAGGCAACACACTCGTAAAATGACTCTGAAATTGCATGTCTCTCATGAAACAACACGTAAAAAATCTAAGGAATATGGGAAAACTTCTTAAAGCAGATGTTTGGGTACCTCACAAACTCTCCGATGATCATTGTTACCATCTTGTTCGTTCGCTGCAACACCATCTTAATGGGTAAACATATGCAAATGTGGAAGGTGTTAAAGAGGACATTGACATGTTTCTTGCTTCAAAGCCAAGTGATTTCGTTAATCAGGGCATTAACAAACTGACTGTAAGATAAAAAAGCATCATCGATAAGAATGGAGACTATTTCATTTAATAAATGTTTTGTTTTGATATATAAGTTGTTCGGGTTTTTTCATCTAACAAAAGTGACATAATTTCTTGATGACCTAATATGTCTGTGTGATCAGACTGATGAAATGGATGTGGAAAACTGTCATTCTCATATGCTAGATGGATTATGGAGAGCATTTAGGGAGGAGTGTTGTTTTGGATATGACAGTCTTACATTGGAGAATTTTTCAATGGAAACTATGCTGCAGGAATGTTTCAAAGATTGGTTGTGTCAGATAGAGCATGACTGGATGTTGCAACATTAACTGTAACAATGTGTTGAGGCTTCAAAATTGTTTTAATATAACATACTCATCCTCTGTAATATCTATACCTTCAGTAGTTGGTAACATCACTACATTCCTCTTGTTAACAATAACAAAACTTTACACCTTATGGTTCACTGTTACTGGCTTATAAGAATTCATAAGTGGTTTATCTTTGACCTTTTATACTGAAATTCTCTTACATAAAACCTTATTGGTAACTTAAACAATATGAAATTGACAGACTCGTTATACAGTTCATTGTAACACTTTTTTTCTTTCTATAAATTAAGTAAACTAGTCATTGAAAGAATAACCTATTATTGCAATTCTATTTACTATTCATAATTATTATTTTCTTAATGACTCTTCCACTTCTAGTTTTTGTCTTTGTCCCTAAGCCAGGCTCCTGTATTGATTCCTCTAATTGTAAACAGTCTATAGGTTTAATAATGAAATATTTTCCATCCAAACACAACTACAAATGTGTCTTTTCTATTCAAGCATACTTTTTCTTTGTTTGTGTTAATGCTACAGTGTTTCCATCTTGCACCAGTACTGTACCAAGTTTGTCTTTTGATACAAGAACTTGCACTGTTAAAGGCTTTTGTCACACTAAGTTCTTTACTGGAGTTTCTCTTACTAGCTTTTCTTGTCTTTCCAGTGTTTTCTGATTTGCATCTTCCAAATGCCATGTCATGTTTTGTTGAATGGCCCTCTCAGAAAAACTGTTTATTGTGACATACTGGGTATAATTTTGAACAGGTAGGTTATGATTCCTAAGACACGGTACATTCACACTATTTTTGGTGTAGGTATTCCATTAATTCCTTCCACTTTAGATTTATCCATCTGCAGGCTGTCCTTACCTAATGTGTTCAAAATATTTGTTTTATTTTACACATAGGTGAAGATTTTTTTTGTTTAGTTTTAATTTTTTTATTCACATGCCCTTTTTAATGCTTTTCTGAGTCTGAAATCATGCTCTTCTGGTGTACATCCCCAGACTAGTACATTGTGTATTTAGCTTATTCTACTGTGATTAGTGAGTTTACCCAGTCCATGAGCTTATTTATTGGTACTATTATTTTCAGCTTGACACATGCTTTTAAGCCTAGTATTGGCTCTACTACATCTCATTCAATAACATAAGATTCCATTTCTCAGATATTTTTTTGCATTTGTTCAGAAATAGTTTTCCCAAGTATAGGATCTCTCTTTCATCCATACTTTTTCAGCTTTATTTTAATATGTAACTTAATTACATCTTTATTGGTAACAGATAAGTCCACTTTTAATTCATTTTTCATAAAGCTGTTTTCTGCATAAACACTTTCTATGAAGAATTCCTTAACATCACTTTCAAATTATTGTTTTGTTTCTTGTCTGTTTGATAATGAGCAACTGGATGCAAATTATGAATGACAGTTTGAGATTGGGGTGTTTTAGGATGGAATACTCATATTTACTTAATTTTTTTTCCAGTTCTAATTTCACTTTATAAGTGATGTTTGTGAATAGAGGTTAAATATAACAGACAGTGTATCCTCATCACTATATGTGTCCTTTTTTTTTGTGGATACCTTTCTTACTAGGGTACATTTCATCATTCTCACATTGTTATTTGTACTCTAATAGGCTTAAAACTTGTGATTAAAATCAAGTAAATGCAGATTCTGTTTTTTACACATTCCTCTATTGCTTCTCTAGCTTTTGTCATGTCATGTAAACCTTTATTTGTACTTTAGTTTCATTTGTCTGTCTTTTATATGCAATACTTTTTGTGTTTAGCCTAGTTAAAGGAAATTTTCTTTCTCACTTTCTCTAGGAAATAATTATGGAAACACACAAGCAGTACATATACAGGAGTCACAAACAGTGATTAATGGTGAAAAATATCACAGAAAATACAAAAGAAAAGCATATAAGCTGTACAATAAGCCAGTATTTTGCATGTGATAAATCTGTGGGAGTCTTGACTTACTGCACTGCACATGCTTGTTTGCTATCAACAGTGTCATATTATACTGTATGTTTCCTTTTATCCACTGATCACATTCATTTTGCTGTATGATGTCTCTTTTTAACCCTCATTAACAGTAATAAGTTTAGCTTGGCATATGCCTTTCAGCCTAGAATAAGTTCTGCCACATTTCTTTTAGTAACATAAAATTCCATTTCTGAGACATCTCTGTATTTGTTCTTAATACTGTTTTTCCAGGTACAATGTCTTTCTTTCCTCCATAACTTTTCAGATTACTTTCAATATGTGATATAAACTAAATCTTTTTTATTAATAGACAAGTTCACTTTCCTGTTTATTTTCCATGAAGGTGCTTCTGCATAGACACCTTCTGTGAAGAATTCCTCAACACCATTTTATAATTCATATTCGTCTATCAAAAACACTTTCTTTGTTTTACATGTCTGCACAGTGATTCCATATATATTTTTTTACACTTCAGACAAGTTCCTGTTCAGTCTAATTTTGCATGAACCACCTTTTTCAACTCATGAACAGATCTGTTTTCTTTCATATGTTACTTTCCTCTGATTTCTAGTCATTTCAGTAGCTCTACAAATATCTGCTGTTTTCTACAGTGTTACATCAAACTCTCAACAGTCTAGCATGAACTTCATTCAAATGAATTCACCATACTGTTTTATCTTTGATTAAAGATTCATGAAGGTTTCCAGATTTATGTGTCTTAGTTAGTTATTATAAATAGTTTTCATACTGCCTTGATAATGAGTATTAAATTATATGACTTTCAAACATTTCCTTTTTCTTAGGATTACAAAACTCTTCAAACTTTGAGAGCAGTATCTAAGTCAACTTTTTCAGATATTGAAAATCTGTTGAATACTTCTAGCATGTCTATTCCTATTACCTGAAGAAAGAATGAGCATTACACTTTTGTGGACTACAAATCTTCTTCTATAGCACCGGGATAAACTGTTAACTGTTGTTTCCTCCTGATATCACCTTCCAGGTCAAAGCCTTAGGTGGCTCTAATAGATCTATTTTATAAACTTCTTCTGGCACATTTCTAACACAATTTTATGTTTAGACCGAGGGACTACACACTATGTAACTTTTACAGAACTTCATGCTTGTACACCATTATTATCTTCATGCCACATGATACATACTATCTATATATATTCAACAGAGGACAGCACATTCAGTAGGTGCAAATATCATAACAATTGGATTTACCTCATTTATGAGGAAACCACTACTAAAAAGTATATTTCTAGGAAAACTAATCAAAAATAAAAAAAAAGAAAACATATACTTTATTTTAAAACAACTTACTGTAGGTGTATGCAAAGAAAATATAAAATCAAAAATGCTTGTGCTGATTTTCACTAAAGTTTTATACACGGAAATCTAAGTTGCAACAGATGAAGAGTTATTTTAGAAAATGCAATTTGATTTGAAAACAACAAAAACAATTAGTTAATCAGTTTATCTGTAAAATGTTAGTGATGCTGAAGAGCATAAAGCTTAGATAACTTAAATGATTTTATAAACCACAGTACATACAAATTTATAAACATGGATTTACATCCCAACTTGAAATCTTGTCATCTCAATAAAAAAATACAGCAGTTTACACAATTCTGACTAGATATAATACTAAAGTAAGGAGCCATCACAATAAGAAAAGTAAAAAATGCTAATATATATATATATGTATATTACTACATTGAAAAAGTGTGCTTGCATTTCAAGAAATCTAACCACACCAAGTTTTCCAGGAAAAGAAGGGTTCTATCTGTATTAAACATTTACCCATAAAACTGGAGTCTTCCATTTTTACTTTCGGAATCTTTCCAAAATATTTATTAAATGATACAAAACACGTCCTTTGTCTTATAGTAATATAGTTTGTGTAATAACATTTCACTCACCCAATCAGTGCAAGTATAGTTCTGGATGAAGAACAATCCACTGCAGTCCTAACAGAGAATAAACAAAAACTAGTAACCATCACTTGAAAATTAAGCTATTGAAAACTTTAATATGAACTTTAAACATTAACATAAGAGTTGGTGCTTACTTATTATAATGGTCAACTACCCCCGAAGAATGCATGAAATTACAAGAAAGCATTTTAAGACATTTCCCATGACTGCTTAAATGAATAACAGTTTCTCAACCATGTGCTGGCTCTACTACATAATGGACTTTTTGGATTTTTAATTCCAAAGCTTAGTTTTGGCAAAATAAATGTATTCTTTTATGTTTTTTTAAAAATATAAATATAAAACTATTAGGTATAATTTGTACTGGTTTATAGCCAATAATCAGTTTACTTATTCTATTTCATAAAGCAAATATTTAATAAAAAAAGCTTTAAAACCAATTGTTTTTATTACTTTATGTGAGCTCTGCTCAGCTAATTACAGTTTTGTATATGTTTACTTCAAGTTTTTATATTTTTCTGTGCCAAGTTATTCTGCTACATTAAGTTTTAACCCTACATTAGTATCGGGTGTCTTCACGGACCTCAAATATTTTGTAAACATTGTTGTCAACAGATGGAAGCATGTACATGTTTGTTGTTCTCAGTAGCTTCAGTATTTGGCTAATTTGTTAAATTGTTACACTCAGTTTAGATGGTAAAAAAAAAACAAGTTGTAATATTCAATGTTTGTTTATTGATTAATAAAGGAAAAGATTTTGAGTGTTAGTGTTTTTTTGTTTCCAAAATAATATTTTATATTATTCATTATTATTTAAATACAGGAATCCCTCGATTAGTGCAGTTAATGTGTTCTTTAAAAGAGCTGTACTAATCGAATATAATAACTTATAGGAAATCATGTAATTCGTACCTTAATTCCCATTCTCATTCACAATTAATTTCTATTTTGCGTATTTTTGATCAAAGTATAAGTATATAAGAAGATACGAAAAAAATGCAATGAATTAAAATTTATTGATCTGATTTTTTTATGAAAAACTTATTTAGAGTGGCTTGTCGCATCGTATTCTTCTGTTCTTCATATAATTGGCGGTACTGAGAAATTGCCTCATCAATTTTTCTGCAAATTTAACGGCTTCTATCTTCATCAGGGTCTGTTTCTAAACATTTTCCAGGCCCGGCATGGTCAGGTGGATAAGGCGCTTGACTCGCAATCTGAGGGTCGCGGGTTCGAATCCCCGTCACACCAAACATGCTCGCCCTTGCAGCCGTGGGGGCATTATAATGTGACGGTCAATTCCACTATTCGTTGGTAAAAGAGTAGCCCAAGAGTTGGCGGTGGGTGGTGATGACTAGCTGTTTTCCCTCTAGTCTTACACTGCTAAATTAGGAATGGCTAGCGCAGATAGCCCTCGTGTAGCTTTGCGCGAAATTCAAAAACAAACAAACTAAACATTTTTCCTTATATTCTTCAATAACCGTGAAAAGTTCTTCTAATTCCTTCTTATGCTGGCGGGTAAGTAAGATTTCTTCACATTCATCAATGTCTTCTTATGCTCTCTGAGTGTCCAAATTTATAAGATCCTTATTGGTTAGTTCTTCTGAATGAGCTTCTAGCAATTCTTGCACATTTTCATCGTCAATCTCAGCGAAACCAAGTTCTTTTCCAATATGAGTAATATCTCTAATGACCTCTTCTGTATCTTTTGAAAAGCCTGTGACGTTCTGTGCACAGTGTGGAAGAACTGTCTTCCAAACACCTTGCATATTTTTAACT